ACGGGGAATGGGAACGGGGAATGGGAACGGGAATGGGAATGGGAATGGGAACGGGACAGGGAATGGGAACGGGAGCGGGAAATGGGAACGGGACAGGGAATGGGAATGGGGAATGGGAAAGGAACAGGGAATGGGAACGGAACAGGCGATGGGAATGGGAATGGAACAGGGGATGGGAACGGAACAGGGAACAGGAATGGGAACAGAATAGGGGATGGGAACGGGACAAGGAATGGGAACGGGACATGGAATGGGAACGGAACAGGGAATGGGAATGGAATAGGGGAACAGGACAGGGAATGGGAACAGGGAATGGGAAAGGAACAGGGAATGAGAACGGAACAGGATGGGAACGGGAACGGAAGAGGGAATGGCACCCGGCTCTGGGGAGCGGGAATGGGAACAGGGAATGGGAACAGGGAATGGGAAAGGAACAGGAATGGGAACGGGAACGGAACAGGGAATGGCACCCGGCCCCGCCGAGCAGGAACAGGAGCGGGAAATGGGAACAGGAATGGGAACGGGGAATGGGAAAGGGACAGGGAATGGGAACGGGACAGGGAATGGGAACAGGAATGGGAACGGGAATGGGAAAGGAACAGGGAACGGGAACGGAACAGGGAATGGAAGCGGAACAGGGGATAGGAACGGGAATGGAGATGGAACAGGGAATGGGAACGGAACAGGGAATTGAAACGGGACAGGGAATGGGAACGGGAATGGGAACGGAACAAGGAATGGCACCCGGCTCTGTGGAGCAGGAACAGGAACAGGGAATGGGAACAGGAATGGGAACGGGAATGGGACAGGAGCTCCACAGGAACAGCAATGGGACTGGAGTTTCACAGGAACAGGGAATGAGAACAGATCGCCGTGGGAACAGGGAATGGGACAGGAGTTCTGCGGGAACAGGGAACGGGCCAGGAACCACCATGGGAAAAGGTTCTCCAGAGGAGCTGTGGCTGCCCCATCCCTGGAAGTGTCCAAGGCCAGGTTCGAGGGGGCTTGGAACAACCCGGGATAACGGGGAGTGTCCCTGCCCGTGGCAGGGGGGGCAATGGGTGGGCTTTGAGGTCCCTTCCCACCCCACGGGGTGATGGGACGAGGGTTCTGACTGGAAGGGGCAGGTTTAGCCGGGATATTGGGAACGGATTCCTCGCCACAGGGACACCAAAGGGCCAGAGCTGGATGGGGATCGGAGCCACCCGGCCCATGGGAGGCACCGACGGGATCAGTCCCTTCCAGCCCCATCCCCCCTGTTCCTGGGATCTCAGGGGATGATCCCACAGCCCCAGGGGATGATCCCACAATCCCAGGGGATGATCCCACGGTCCCAGGGGCTGATCTCACAATCCCAGGGGCTGATGCCACAATCCCAGGGGGATGATCCATACCCAGTTGAGGCTGGGCTCCCTGCTGAACTCGTGGCTCTTGGCGGCGCTGAAGTCGTAGTCGGGCCGGAAGGACTCGTTGAGGGTGGTGATCAGGTAGAACAGGGTCTTGCGGCTGCACGTGTCGCTCAGGGGACCCTCCTCGTCCCCACTCTGGCTCTTCCCGAGCCTGGCACGGGACAGACAGGCCAGGGGTGTGGGAACAGGGCCAGTGGGGTCAGGGACATGGGGATGGGGACAGTGGGGTCAGGGACATGGGAATGGGATCAGTGGGGTCAGGGACATGGGAATGGGATCAGTGGGGTCAGGGACATGGGAATGGGATCAGTGGGGTCAGGGACATGGAAACAGGGACAGTGAGGTCAGAGATGTGGGATCAGAGATGTGACAGCAGGAATACAACAACAGGGTCAAGAAAATAGAGAATGGGGTCAGGGATATGGGAACAGCTGGGGGACACCAGGACATGGCCTTGGGAGGGGTTTGGGGTGACCCCTACATGCAGAGGGGGGTCGGGTCAGGCAGGGGAAGGGGAAGGGGCTGCACAGGGCTGGGGGGAGGTGCCTTTCCCACAGGGATCCCCAAAGGAATTCGGGATCCCTGTGGATGTGGCCCCTGGGGACACAGGCAAGGGGGGGCTTTGGCCAGGGGACTGACCCCAAAGGTCCTTCCCAGCCCGTCCCATGACTCCCAGAGCTTCCTCCCACTCAATACCAGTACGTGTCCCATCCTCCCAGTACTCCCCAGTTATCTCTCAGTCATTCCCCAGTCAACCTCCGTTCACCCCAGTCAATCCCAGTTGCACCCCAGTGCCTCCCAGTTCACCTCCAGTGCACCCTCCAGCCTCCCCCACCAGCACCCATCCCCACCAGCAGCTCCCAGTCCCTACCCAGTTGCCTCCAAGTTACCTCCCAGTCCACCCCAGTGCCTTCCAGTCATCTCTCAGTCTCCCCCAGCAGCTCCCCGTTCCCCTCCAGTGCCCTCCAGTCTCCCCCAGCAGCTCCCAGTGCCCTCCAGTCTCCCCCAGCAGCTCCCAATGCCTCCCCAGCGCCCCCAGTTTACCTGCCTGGGCTGAGCCCCGAGGTCTGGGGTGGGGACAGGGCCTCGAGCACGTGGGGCTGCCCCTCCTGGCAGAACTGCTTGAACATGTGCTTGTCATCCCCGGCCATCTTGCACGAGTAGCTCTCGATCCTGCGGGGAGGGGACACTCCAGGGGCCGGGAACGCCGGGAATGGGGCTCCAGGGGGGCCTCAGGGACCCTGCCAGGGCCTGAAGGGGCTCCAGGAGAGCTGGAGAGGGACTGGGGACAAGGGATGGAGGGACAGGACACAAGGAATGGCTTCCCAGGGTTAGGGGGGATATTGGGAAGGGATTCCTGGCTGGGAGGGTGGGGAGGGGCTGGGCTGGAATTCCCAGAGAAGCTGTGGCTGCCCCTGGATCCCTGGGAGTGTCCCAGGGCAGTGGGAAGTGTCCCAGGGGCAGAACTGGATATTTCCCAAGTTCCCCCTTCCCCTCAAGGCCATTCCCTGGCCCCATGGCCGGGGGGACACCCTGGGGGGCTGCAGGCCCTTCTCAGCCCCAGCATCCCCCATTCCCTGTTCCCTGACCTGCCAATGATGTGGGACACCCCGGGGGGCTCCAGGCCCTTCCCATTCCCTGACCTGCCAATGATGTGGGCGTCCCCCGTCTCCACTGTCAGCTGGGAGTTTATGGCTTCAAAGCTCGAGTTCTCCAGCAGCTTCATCCTCCCCGAGTGGGACTCCCAGAGCGGCTCCTGGGGCTGCAGATCAGCGTCCTGGGGGGCAACGAGAGAGTCCCTGGGAGCGGGAAGGGGAGCGGGAAGCTGAGGACGGGGAGAGGGGGAGAACGAAAGGAAAAGGAAGGGAGGAAAAGAGGAGGGAAAAGGAGAAACGGAGAGCAAAAACGGGGCAGGGAAAAGGGGAAAACGGGGAAAAAGAGATAAAAAGAGAGAGAGGGAGAAGAGAGAAAATGGGACACGGGAAAGGGGGGAGGAAGAGGAGAAAAGGGGGGAGGATAAGCAGGCGGAAAAGGGAAGAGGAAGAACAGGAGATTCGAGGGGAGCTGCCAGCGGCACCATAAAGGGGAAAATGGAGGCGTGAGAAAAAAAGAGGACGAGAGGGAGAAGCAGAAAGAGGGAAAAGAGAAGCAAAAGGAGCAGGAAAAGCGGGAGAGGCGGAAGATGCTGCGGGACCGGAGCGCCCCGGAAGTGCCGTTCCCGGCGTGCCCCGCGCTGCGGACTACAGCTCCCGGCATGCCCCGCGCGGCGCCCCGGGCCGACCCACGGCGGACTACAGCTCCCGGCATGCCCCGCGCGGCGGGCTCGGCGCCATTGGCCGCCTACGGCTCCCATGGTGCCCCGCGGGCGCGCCCCGTGCCGGGCCGCACCTGGGCCGCGCGGGGCACGCCGGGAGCTGTAGTCCAGGGGGGGGCTCGGGGCGCAGAGGGGAGGGGGCGGCGAGCGGACTTACCGGCGCGTCCCGCTCCCGCTGCCTCCTCGCCGCGGCAGCGCCTTCAGGCTCGGGGCGCGTGTAAGAGGAGGCGTCTCCGGGGAAAGCTCGAGGAGGGCGCTCGTGCCGCGGCCGCCGCCCGCCGTCTGGCGCCGGCCCACCGGGCGTCCGCCCACCTCGACATGTCCCCGAGTGCTCGGGACTGCGCGAGCGGCTGAGCGAGACCTGGGAGTTCCCTCGGGGCGGGCGGGCGAGCGAAGCGACCTTCTCCTGCGGCACCGACCGGGCGGCAACAGCGGCACCGCCCCTCCCGCCCCGCCCCGCCTCGGCGGCGCCGGCGGCCCGCGGGTCCATTGGCGGATGGGCCCGTCCATCATCGGAGCCCCGCACTTCCATTGGCTGGAAGCGACGTCACTCATCGGGCCCTCCCCCCGCGGGGGCGCTCGGCGTTCCGATTGGCTGGCGCGGACAAAGACGGGGGGCGGCTGTCAATCAGCGCGGGGGGCGGGGCCGAGGGCGCGCGGGGCGTGGTCACGGGCGGGGCCGCGGGCGGAACGTTCGGTCCCGGAACTGCCCCGGCGGGGCCGCGTTTCCCTCGCCCCGCCCCGCTCCCGGGTACCGGTTCGGTGCGGACCGGGCGGGGGGCCGGAAGTGGCGGGGCCGCTATGGCGGCGCCCGGAGCCCCCGGGCCGGGCCCTGCCCCGGGCTCTGTTCCCGCCTCTGCCCCGGGCGCTGCCCCGGGCGCTGCCCCGGGGTCGCTCCCGCCTCCTGCCCCGGGGTCGCTCCCGCCGCCGCTGCCGCCCACCGTGCTGATGGCGGCGCGGGCTCAGCTCGCCGCTCCCTCTCTCCTCCTGCCCGCCGCCGCCGCCGGCGCCGCGCTCCGCCTGCAGCTCAGCGTGGAACCGGCCCCCGGCGGCCGCCGCCGCTTCCGCCTCGGGCTGAGGCTGCCGGAGGCGGGGGGGGGCGCGGTGAGGGCGGGCGGGGGGCGCGGTGAGGGCGGGGGGGGGGGCGGGCGGAGGGACCCTCGGGGGGCTCCGCGGGTGCGGCGGGAGGGGGCGGTGGGTTCGGGGAGGGGGGAGGGCGGGGCCTTTCCCGCGCAATTGCCGTGAAATTCCCGCGCGGAACTCGGGATCCGGAGGCTCCGGGGTCACCCCCTTGGAGTTGCCATCGCGGGAATGTCTCGGGGGGTGCCGGAGCCGGGGGCGGAGCTGATCCCGTTGGGGGCGGTGTTTGTATCGCAGCCCTGTCGCGACAGGAGCCCGTGGTGACCGCGCCCCCGTGTCCCCCCCGTGTCCCCTTATCCCAGCCCCTGGCGGAATTCGACCTGCGGGACGTGTCCTACCGCGTGCGGGGCCCCGCGAGCCACGAGCTGGAGCTGCCGGGACCGGGAGCGGGAGCGGGAGCGGGGACAGGGACAGCACCGGGGACAGGAGTGCGCACGGTGACGCTGCAGTTCCCCGAGGAGCGGGAGGCACAGCAGTGGTGGACGGTGCTGAGCAGCTCCCTCAGGGAGGCCCGGAGAGGTGGGACAGGGACACGGGGGACAGGGCTGGGGACACGGGGCTTGGGGACAGGGCTGGGGACACGGGGACAGGGCTGGAGCTGGGGGGCACAGCCGAGGTGGTGGGACAGGGACACGGGGCTGGGGACAGGGGTATGGGGCTGGGGACAGGGGTATGGGGCTGGGGACAGGGATACCAGGCTGGCGACAGGGATCTGGGGCTGGGGACAGGGATCTGGGGCTGGGGACAGGGACACGGGGCTGGGGACACAGCCGGGACAGGGACATGGGGACAGGGTTGACAGTCCCACCCTGGTGCCAGGAGGGAGCTGATCCATCAGGTGACCCTGGAAGGTCCCTGAGGTGTCCCCTCCCCATGTCCTGGACACTTGGGGGCCCCGGGGGTGGCTCTGTCTCAGGACACGGGCGGGGGCCACCATTCCCACAGGGATGTCCTGGGGTGTCCCCTCCCGCCTCGGGAGGGACCCCTGGGGACAGTGGGGATGGTCCCAGCCCTGACGTGCCCCAACAGCCTCGGAGTGCACAGTGACAGCCCCGGGGGACACGGGGACAGCCCCAGGGGACAAGGGGACAGCCCTGGAGGCCCCGCCCCCATCCTTGCCCACGCCAGACCCAGAGCAGGACCTGGAAGAACTGCAGACCCTGGAGCTGGCAGAGAGAGGTATCCCTGGAAATCTGGGAATCCTGGAGCTGGGAAACACCCCAGAGCCCCCTGAGCACCCCCCAGCCCTGCCCAGGCCACCCCTGCCCTTGTCCCCAAGTGCCACCTCCCCAGGGATGGTCAATCCCCCAGGGATGGGGATCCAGGGCTGGGCAGCCCCTTCCCAGGAGGGATTTTCCCAAGATCCCAAATAAAGCTCCCCTGGCACAGCTTGGGGCCGTTTCCCCTTATTCTGTCCCTGTTCCCTGGGAGCAGAGCCCGAATTCCCCCCCGGCGTCACCTCCTGTCACCTCCTGTCCCTGTGGTGTCCCCAGGCCGGGCCTGGCCCGCTCCCGGCCAGCTCTGGGGTGTGTGGGGTGTGGTGCTGACCCTGAGTGTCCCTCCCCTGTCCCCAGAGGAGCTGTGCCTGCGCCTGGCCGAGGCCATCGCGGCGGGGGACGAGGCGGTGGCGGCGCAGAGCGCGGTGGCCCTGGCGCGGCACCACACGGAGCTCAGCGTGAGCCTGAGGGACAGCAACTACCCCGGGGGGGAGCTCAGGTCAGCCTGCAGCCCCTCCTCGTGCTCCATCTCCCTGCTCCTTCATCCTCCTCCTCGTGCTCCATCTCCCTGCTCCTTCATCCTCCTCCTGCTCCATCTCCCTGCTCCTTCATCCTCCTCCTGTTCCATCTTCCTTCTCCTTCATCCTCCTCCATCCTCCTCCTCCTTCATCTCCCTACTCTTTCATTCTTCTCCTGCTCCATCTCCCTCCTCCTTCATCCTCCTCCTCCTTCTTCATCCTCCTCCTCCTCCATCTCCCTCCTCCCTCATCCTCCTCCTGCTCCATCTCCCTCTTCCTTCATCCTCCTCTTGCTCCATCCTCCTTCTCCTTCATCCTCCTCCTTCTTCATTCTTCTCCTGCTCCATCTCCCTCCTCCTTCATCCTCCTCCTCTTCCATCTCCCTCTTCCTTCATCCCCACCTTCCCATCCTTCCTCCTCCTCCTCCTCTGTACGTGAGAGAGGCCCAACCCCCAGGGGGGGGATCAGGTGGGCTTTCATCCTCCTGGGCCTCCTCATCCTCTTTCTTTTCCCTACTTTTTTCTTCTGCTTTTTCTTTCTTTCTTTTTCTTCCTCTTTTTCTTTCTTTTTCTTCCCCTTTTTTCTTTTTCCTGCTTCCCTTCTCCTTTCTGTTTTTCCTTTCACTTTCTGCCTCCCCTTCCTTCTCTCTCTGCTCCGTTCCCTGCCCCCCCCGATCCCAGTGTCCCGGTCCCCCCTATCCCATGTCCCTCTCTCATTCCCACTGTCCCCCATGCCGTTATCCCGTGTCCCTGTGTCGTTCCCAGCATGGCTGTGTGGGTGGAAGACGCCACGTCCTCGGCCAACGTCACCCTGCGGGTGCGGCCCCACGTCACCATCGGCACCCTCAAGGAGCAGGTACGGGGGGGACAC